CCATATGCCCATACATTTGCAGCCATTTTGACCTGTTCCTGCACCGCACACCTCATCGCATCAGGTCTTCGACTTTTCAACCAAACCCATACTCCAAAACCAGCCATGGCCAAAACTTCCAAAGCCACCAAGCGGTTTCAGGGCAAACACTTGAAACACACCATCGACCACCGCAGGCAGGTGCAGAGACACAACAAGCTAAAAGGCAAGAAGAAGGAGGCCAAGGATGAGCCCAAGCCAGAGAAAAAGTCCACCAAGCCTGTTTTCGATGACATGTCCATGGAGGAGTTTTTTGAGCAGGACATGAAGATTCCCGAGCCTAAGAAGGGGTACAAGGTGAAGAAGGCCGGCGAGGAGTCGGACGACGAGGATTCGGAGGATGACATTTCTGAGGACATCGAGTTGGATAGTGAAGAGGATGAGAACGACAAGGCATCTGTTTCAGATGGCGAGTCTTCTGAAGAGGAGGACGAGGAGCAGCTCAAGGAGGAGATGGACAAGCTTGCAGAGAAGGACCCCGAGTTCTACAAGTATTTGCAGAAAAACGACAAGGAGCTTTTGGACTTTGAGGGTGTGAACCCCATGGACGCCATTAGTGACGATGAAGATGACGACGAAGAAGAGATCGAGGAGGAGAAGCCCAAGAAGGAGAAGAAGAAGATCGACATCAACAGGGAGCTCCTCACGACGTGGAAGAAGCAATTGAAGAGCCCCACGGTGAAGATCATCCTGAATATCGTGGCTGCTTTCAAGGCTGCCGTCAACATCAACGCTTCTGAGGAAAGCGAACGCTACACCATCACGGATTCCTCCATTTTCGCCGACTTGATGTTTGTGGGTTTGAGACAGATCCCGCAGGCGATCCAGAAAGTGTGCCCCTACAAAACCAACTCCAAGGGTATCAGAAGCGTCAATGAAAAGCACAAGGACTACGAGGAGTTGTTCCGTATTTTGAAGATCCAGCACACCGCCTTCATCACGCTTTTGGAGGACATCAACAACACCGAAACCGCCGCTTTGGTTTTGACTTCTCTCCAGGAAGTGTTGCCTTTCTACACTGCTCACAAGAAGATCCTCAAGCGTATTTACACCGCTGTGGTTGACGTCTGGGCCACCACCAAGGATGTCGAAACACAAATCGCCGCTTACGCCTTCATGAACAATTCTGCCAGAGAGTTCCCCAAACAGGTTCTCGAGATCATCTTGAAACAGACCTACTCGTCTTTCCTCAAGGCATGCAGAAAGACCAACATCCACACGATGGACCTTATCAATTTTGCCAAAAACTCTGCCGCCGAGCTTTTCGGAATCGACGAAAACTTGTCCTACCAGGTCGGTTTCGAGTACGTTCGTCAATTGGCTATTCATTTGCGTACCACCATCACCAGCACCAGTAAGCGTCTGGCCAACTCTGATAATAAGGAGGCTTACAAGATTATTTACAACTGGCAGTACTGCCACTCTTTGGATTTCTGGTCCAGAGTGTTGTCTCAGCAGTGTAACCCAGAGATTGAAGAAACCAAGCACAAGAACAAGGAGAGCCCCTTGAGATCGTTGATCTACCCCTTGGTCCAGGTCACCTTGGGTACCATCCGGTTGATTCCTACGCCGCAGTTCTTCCCGTTGAGGTTTTATTTGATTCGTTCGTTGATCAGACTTTCGCAGAACACCGGCGTCTATATCCCCGTGTTCCCACTCATCTTGGAGATCATGACCTCCAGTCTTTTCAAGAAACCAGCCAAGAACGTCGCCTTGCCTGCTTTTGACTTTGAGCACAACATCAGAGCAAACCAGCAGTACCTCGGCACCAGAGTGTACCAGGACGGTGTCTGTGAACAGTTCATCGACTTGTCTGCTGAGTTTTTTGTGTTATACTGTAAGAGCGCTGCTTTCCCCGAGCTCATCACACCCCCAGTCATTGCCCTTAGGCGTTTCATCAAGAAGTCGAAGCTTATAAAGTACAACAAGCAGCTCCAGCAGCTTGTGGAGAAATTGACCGCCAACGGTTCGCTTATAGTGGCCAGAAGAGCCAACATTCTGTATGGTCCTTCCAACAAGGCCGAGGTTCGTCTTTTCATGAAGGACACCAAGTGGGAAACCACGCCTTTGGGCCAGTATGTTGTTGTCCACAGAAGAACCAGGGAGGAGAAGTTGAGACTCTTGAAGGAGGCTGTTCTTGAGGAGGAAGCTGCAAAGAAGAACGCCAAGGCGAAGGACGTGGAGATGGAGGATGCGCTTGCTTCCGGCAGCGAGGATGATGATGTTGAAGTCTCCGACGACGAGTAAACTGTTGCCTGCCAACAGTTGAGTTTGCATAACTAAATACATGTACAGTAGATCATGGATCGATCGGGATGAAGTTGCCGACAATGCAACTGGGGATGTTGTAGCGGTCTCTTCGTATCGTGAAGCTGAAACAGCAGCTTTTTCTCTTGAAGCCGTCTTTGGTTCTCAAGTTGCAACTCGTGAGTACGGCTTTCTGGCCCTTGTCGAACGCAATGGCACCGTACTTCTCCCAGAAGTTGACGGCACTCTCTTCGCTCATGAGCTCGTAGATTGCAAGCTTTCCGTCTTTGAGATCGTCTGTAGTGACTCCCACCAACGAAGCAAACTCCTTGTTGCCTCTGTATATCTCACCTGTACGTCTCCAGAGACAGGCGGGAATGGCCATGGACGTGAAGACACGGTCGTAATCTAGAAGCATACGCTCGAAGCTCTCCTCGACAAGAACCAAGTCCACATCCTTCAAGGTTCTGGCAATGGCTCTGAAGGCAGGACGGAAAATCGAAAGCGGTTTTAGAATTCTCTGCCTACTCAGCTGGTTCATGTAGTTGTCCATGTACCCCTGGAGACGAGCGTATCCCTTGGCATAGTTGTACGGTTGTAGAAGGCCAGCCTCCAATTTTGCTTTGATGACCTGTTTGAGTCGTTCTTCAGGCGAGATCTCTGTCGTGGGGTCTGCAGCGGTTAAGAAGAACTTGTCACGAGCTGAGTCAGAAATTACCGGTTGCGGCTGGTCCGGACCCGGTTTAGCGCCTTGCTCATACTGGTTTCCATTTGTAGGAGCCTGTGTCTGCTGGTGCCCAATGACGGGACTTTCTTGGTTAGGGTTGTCGAACGCCGGCTGCTGGATGTTGTTTGGCAGAAACGAGAGAAGATTGGTGCTGCTGTGGTTGTGGTTCTGGTTCTGGGGTTGAGGGTTGGTCTGGTTCTGCGGCATCAGGAAAGCCATCAACGAATCCGGGTTGTTGCCGTTGGTGCCTAGCGAACCGCCCACCAATTCAGGATCGTCAATCATCGAAAGGAAATCGTTCAAGGAGCTGAACTCGCTACCTGCGTGCTCCGAGTAGAAGAAAGGCTCCTCATTAAAAGGCAAGTTTTTCAGAAGAGCCCCCATATTGGACCCTACCCCGCCAACGCCCTGGCCTGAGAAGCCGGCAGCACCCGCATTGGTGGGCCTATTTTGCTGTGGAGCCATGTTCTGGGCCTGCTGGGGCTGGACGAAGAGTGAACCCGGGTCAGTCCGGCTGGCGGCAGCCTGGTACCCGGCCATATCCGGTTGGTCCAAGCTTTGGTTGGAGGAAGTGTTGATTTCCGGGGTCTGGTTGGACGATGCGGGCTGTGCTGTGTTTGTTGACCTTCCCGGAGTGGGTTTCTTGCGCTGGCGGCCCGGGGTGGGCTCGTCGTGGCACAAATGCCCGATTCCTCTTTTGATACACCTCAGACAGGGTCTTGAGTCATCGCAGATCATGTGAGACCGACGGCAGTAAACACACGCCATCTCGACCTTTTTCTTCTTTTTCTTGGGTTTTTTCGTCTCGGTAGACGATCTGGAAGACGTGGATTCCGTCATGGATTGGCTGGTGTGGGATCCACCTTGAGCACCCTCGACGTTCAGCTCAGGCGTTTCTTCGGACTTTTCTCGATATTCCATTTTTGTTATATGCTATGGGTTGGATGCAGACGATGTAAAAGCCGTACAGTTTCCATCAAGGTCAGAAATGTATGGATATCACTGGGGCATACGTCGACTCGAGGACAATAACAGAAAAACCGTGAGCAGTTTGATAGGCGGCACGTGACGTGCGTTTTTTGTCTCACCAGCTTCTGTGGGGCACCTTCCTGTATCCGACATCCCCCGGGAGGGCTTACGTAGAAGAGCTTAAATTTCATAGTAAATCGTGTCGTAATTCGTTATCATGCTAATTCATGCGGATCGTGGATGCTGTCGAAGACGACGATGCTGTGAACATGGTGGACCGGCTCAGCTCCAGTGCCCGTCTTTCGCCGGTCATTGTATCCTCGGCCTCTTCGTATCTGGTTTCCACAGACAGCCCTGGCGTGAAATATGCAGATGGTAATGAGGACGTAGCTGAGTTGCGTCCGGGAGACTCCAATTGTGATGCTGGGGGGTTCTCCTGTTGGGAAAACGACGTAACAAAGGAGGAGTTGGAAGAGGCGTTCTCAGGCAGCGTTTCTGGCGACGTTTGCGGCGACAATTCGGTGGCAGATTCAAGCTGGAAGCTTCTTACGGCCGCTGTGGACCGCACCTCCGGCAGTGTGTTGAGCTGTGAGCATCCCGGTAGACCTATGGTTCTCTCCATCTGGCCCAAATCCACCGCAGGCGGTGCAACCAGCGATGTAAGCAAAGGCAGCGTCTCTGTGGGCCTCATGACGTCGTTGCACAAGGGACAAGTCCGGCGGAAGTTGATGAGCCAGTTTGAGAGGCACTTCTCGTGGAAGATGTGATGACAGTCTAAAACAAGCACCCGCAGCTGGAGAGGCGTAAACTTGTCCAAGCAGATGGGACACTTGAATGTGGGGAAGAAATCGTCGGGGGCGAATAGGAGCCCAAACTGCTTGCGCATCAGATAAAGATCTGTGCCGTTGATGACGAAATTTTTCATGGAAGCCGGTGTCTCTGGTTCAACCATGGAGGCGACGTCCTCGGAGGAGGACGGAACCAGCGGAATGTCACTGGTCTGGTATGTGGCGGTCAAGTAGTAGTAGAAACTCTGCGTGGGCACCAAGTGGTTTCTGTGGTATATGTACACTGGAAGGTTCTTGACAAGGCGCTGGTTCATGGCGCTGACACGCCGTCTGCGGCACATCTGAAGAGTTCTGATGAGGAGATAGCAAATGAGAATGAGCAATGGCGGCGACACGGCCATGGAAAGAAGGAGATTGATCCAATTGTCGAAGGCAGCGGTTCGGATCAGAAGCTCCAAATGCTCCCGCTCGATGGTGCCGAGCATCTTGAAGTCCTCATTCAGAATGAAGAGGATTGGCGTGGCGAGCTTGCCGTCTGCATTGAATGACGCCAGGTACATGGTGATGAGAGCCCTGTAGGGCTCATCGTTAGCCACAATAATGGCCCTGGGCAGCAAGTCTGAGTTAAGCAAATTCAGGATTTTCCTCACAAACGTGCACTTCCCTCTTAGCACGATCAATATCTTGTCCTTCACGTCGTCCTTGTTTTCAGGAACCCAGGGTCCCTCACAGGCATCTCCTGGCACTATGGCGTACTCTGCTGTCAAGGAGCGGCTGATGATCGGACTGAAGGAAGCGTACCGTGCCACCATCTCGTACGTCTCGTTTGAGTAGTTGTACGAAACAATCAGATCTATGGGAAACACCAGGTTCACCACATTGGTGAAGGGACTGTCCAAGTCGATATCAAGATCCACGACTTTGCCCGAATCCTGGGTCTTTTCAGCGTCACTCGTGCAGCCGGCAAAATACCGGCTTTTGCACATGGCCGACAATCGGTACTCCTTGATGGAGTTTTTCGTCAAAAACAAGGCATCTCCAAGCTGGAGCTGGGAGGCGGATATGGCTTTTACGAGCACCACGGCCGCCACCACTATGGTAAAGATGGCTACAAGCCTTCTGGCCCGCGGCATGGTCGACTGGAATTAGGGGGCCTTCAAATCAGAAAGAGTTGGTATATTTAGTCTTGGACTCCTACTCTGGTGATTTAGGTGGGGAAAAACTGTGGTGCACGGGTGTGGCATGATCCAGGGCTTAGACCGGACCATCGACATTCCCGGGACGATTTGGGAGGATGATGTGGTGATATATGTGTTTGGAGGAGGTGGAGGGAAGTGGATTTGGTTTGTTTTTGGGGTTTCATGTTGTGGAACTTTGATGCGACGCGTCCTTCCGTGGTTGCAAAATGTGTTGATGAGGCAGGGTGTTGGATTTTTGGAGGGTTTTGCAGAAAACGGACCCGGAGATTCAGATGTGGTAGTTAAATGATGTCATTTGTTTAATGACGGGCATGGTGGCGTGGAAACGGTGGGGAAGACAGGCGACCAATGGCTGCGAAATCGGACCACCATAGGGTAGTTGAGGAGTGTAATTTGAAGAGTTGTCAAAAAATGAAGAATTGGAGAAATGTTGTTTTTGATGGTAGAGCTAATTTGCAAAGGTTGGGAAGTTTTCATTGGGGGTTGATTTGGGAAGTTGTGTTGCATCATGTTGCTATGTGGAGAGACCGAGCATCGTACGTTGATCGTATGGCTTTGACACCACCGTGGTTAGTCATTCCTGTCATTGTTGTAAATTTGGGGCTTTTTAGGGAAGAGGAAAACAGAGGAGAAGTGTACGAAATTATGGGTTTGGGTTGGTTTTTGGGACTGCTCTCCACTGGTAGTAACACAGTTGAAGATGTACAGTAAAAGTGCTAGAATTTAGTTCGCTCAATATGGAATTAGCTTCGGTTTTATTAGTCCAATTACTAGTGCACTTTTAGGCTCATGTCAGCTTTCCTGGTGCTTCCCAAGGAATGAAGACTATAGTTAACGACGCCTTGCTTCCAGACTAGGTTAAGCTATTCAACTGCGATACTATAGAACACAATATCTGTGAGCATTTGTTGATTCCGACTCCAATTCCCACCCTTCAACATTTGTTTTCATTCTTCTTTCACTTCTATTTGCCTTCCTTCTCTCCTGTTGAATCATACTTTTTATTTTGTACACTTATGCTTATACCGTTCAACAAGAAACAGCCTACTGCACCACCATTGCTCAATTTCCACTCCAAATAAACTTTGACGAAACGAAATTGACTTTTTCGGCTACCCCAAACTTTTCCACAACATAATCTAAATTCCCATTTTGTCCTACCAAACAGACATTTCCAAGATCTGTGTACCTCAGCATTTAACCGTCTCGCAGCAGTTTGCAGCCGGAAGCATAAACGTAGAAATCCGACAAAGTCTTGAATTCCACCACACTCCATATCAAAAACATATATAGATTTGATATTTCCAAAATCCCAAAATAGCAAAAACGAACCCACACCGCCAGATACGATTCTGCCTTTGTCTTTGGAAACAATCACCTGCTATTCTGTATGCAAGTGAAGCCCGACCTGCGTCCAACGCTGTCTCAGCCTCACCATAGCCCCGGGGGTGGATCACCAAATCCCAAGAATGAAGCATAATACACGAAAACAAATGCAAAATTCATACTTCTCGTACCCAATTGAGGGGGTCTGCCAATTTTCAGAACTCAATTCGCCCAGCTACACCCTCCACGCCAACATTCACCTTTTTGAGCCCCACACGACCAAGCAACTTCTACTACCGTGCAATTTCCAACTAGCAACAACTCCAACACCATGCTGGCTCCCGTACAAGCAACGGATGTATGTATTTCCAACTCAATTTCAAAACTCTTCTAACAACAGCCCAACGAGGTTCTCAATCCCCCGGAGCAGGTCCCCTTGAAAGACCAGCCTCTTGAGGATATCAAGGACCAGGTTGACAAAGGTAAGGACAATACGGTGAACACAAAAACCACCGATTGGACCGTCAGCGAGGATTACAATTTTGATGAATGTAAGCACGACAGACCTGAACCCAGACAGTCGTTGCCTCCAGCCTACAGAGGATGGAAAGAAGTGGGTGGATACGACCACCATGAGAAGTTGACTGCTGAGGATGAAGCTACTGACTTGTTGCTGAAGGGCTCCTTTTTCGACAATTACTTGCCTGCCGTGGCCTTTGGCGACTGGTACCACAATGTGGCCTACATGATTCTCAGCGGCTTGTTGTCGTGGATTGTGGGCTGGTTCCGTTTCTCGTTGGCTCCCGTTTTCTTCATTATGCTTGTCTTTGGCATCTTGTACCGTAGTTCTGTCAGAAAGTACAGACAGTCGTTGCGTGAGGTGGCCCAGAGAGAGTTTTCCGTGAAGCTGATTGAAAACGACTACGAGACCATGGACTGGCTCAATGTGTTTATGGAGAAGTTCTGGCACTTTTTGGAGCCCTCGGTGGCTCAGATTGTCACTGAACAGGTGAACCCCATTTTGGCTGCTTCGCCTGCCCCTGCTTTTGTGAAGGCCTTGTGGCTCGACACTTTCACTGCTGGTACCAAGCCTCCCAGAATCGTCAAGGTCAAGACTTTGGCTGGTACTGCTGACGATGTCGTGGTTATGGACTGGGGTGTGGCTTTCACGCCCAACTCCTTGGCTGATTCCAACAACAAGCAGCAGAAGAACAACGTCAATGAGAAGGTCGTCACCGTGGCCAACATCTTTGGTGTTGAGATTCCCGTTGCTGTTTCTGACGTTTCCTTCCACTGTTTGCTTAGAGTCAGATTGAGAATGATGACTGCCTTCCCTCACATCGAGACCATCAGTGCCTCGTTGATGGAGGCTCCTCAGATTGATTTTAATTCGAGAGTTTTGGGTAACACCTCGTTCAACTGGGAGGTTTTGGCTATTCCTGGTTTGTTCCCGCTCATCAACGAGATGATCAAGAAATACGCTGGTCCTATTTTGTTTTCGCCGCTCTCCTTCCAATTGAACGTTCAGCAATTGATGGCCGGTGCTCCTTTGAACTCCGCCGTGGGTCTTTTGGTTATCGACGTCAAGCACGCCAAGGGTTTGAGAAACTTTGGCGGTATCAACAACACCGTCGACCCATACGTTACTTTTGGCTACTCTAAGGAGGTTCTTGAGCAGACCTCGGTTAAGAACGATACCACAGAGCCCGTTTGGAACGAGCGTTTGTACGTCGTGGTGAACACCTTCTCGGAGCCTTTGAACATCAACATTTTGGACAAGCACAAGCGCAGAAAGGACAACCAGATTGGTTCGATCCAGTACGACTTGGAGACTTTCAGAGACAAGGAGAAGCAGGACATCACTGCTCCTATCATCCGTAACAACAAGCCTGTTGGTGAGTTGCTGTTGTCGATGCACTACATGCCTACTTTGGTTTCCCAGAGACAGGCTGATGGTGCCGTCATTCCTCCTCCTGAACTTAACAGTGGTATCGCCAGAATTGAAGTTGCTGGTGCCAGACACTTGAAGTCCGAGGGTGAGGGTCAGGAACCATTGACTACTTCTGCTGAGGTCTGGGTTCAAGGTAAGTGTGTCGTCCAGACCGGTGTTCAGAAGAAGAACAACAGTCCTACCTGGTCGGGTGCCAAGGAAATGATTATCTTCAACCGTGCTAAGACCAGAGTCAAGATCTTGATTAAGGACGACAAGGGTAAGGTGATCAATGCTATTGTCAAGAGATTGAACGATTTGATTGATGCTGCCATGGTTGATGATCCATGGTTCCAGTTGCCAAACGGTGGTGAAATCCAGATCAACTCTTTCTGGAAACCTGTCATGTTGGAAGGTGCTGAAGGTACTGCTGGTTACACTCCACCAATTGGTGTTGTCAGAGTCAGCGTGCAAAGCGCTGAGGATTTGCGTAATTTGGAGACTATTGGTAAGGTTGATCCTTATGTTCGTATTTTGGTGAACGGAAGTGAGAGACGAAGAACAGCCTATTTCGACTCGACTTTGGAACCAACCTGGAATGAAGTGCACTATGTGACTATCTCATCGCCTAATCAGAAATTGACTTTGGAAGTGATGGATACAGAGAAGATGGGCCCAGATAGAACATTGGGTTCGTTTGATGTGAAATTGCAGCCATTAATTCAGAAGGACAACAAGGGTAACTACATTGAGACTGTTGATCCAAAACAGCGTACCTCTAAATTGATCCACAAGAAGGGTCCTAAGGGTACTGTGACCTACTCCTTGTCTTTCTACCCTGTGTTGCCAGTTATGACTATGCAAGATATTAGAGAAGAGGAGGAAGAGCGCAAGGCCCAAGAGCAAGTCAAGAAGAAGTCCGACAAATTGGTCAAGGAGAAGGGTGAGAAGGAGGCCTCTCAGTACTTGGAAGAGCAGGAGAAGCTTCAGAAGGAAGAGCAAGAGGAGAAGGAACAGCTCAGTTCCGGTAAGTTGGACTTGGGCTTGGACGAGTTGTTGGAGTACAAGAGCGGTGTGTTTGTTTACGAGATTTCCGAGATCGAGTCCTCCAAGGAGGGATTGTACCTCCAGGCTTTCTTCGATAACCATGGTCTTCACGACTTTGTTACTCCAAAGTTGAAGCAGAGAAAGATCACTCTGACGACTACTGGTGAATTCACGGTCAAGGAGTTGGAGAGCTCCGAGGTGACTTTCAGACTTCAGAAGAAGGAGGATGCCAACAAGTTGGAGAAGGCAGGTGCCGAGGGAACTTTCAAGGTTTTGGACTTGTTGAAGGACTCATTCAACAAGACTACTACCATCACCTTGTCTGGTTCTGTCACTGCAACCATCAAGTTGCAAAGTTCGTGGATGCCTGTCATCTACACTTCTGGTATCCCACCTCAAGACTCTATGGACAACTGTGGTGTTTTGACCATCACAGCCAAGAATGCCGAGGACCTTCCTGCTGGTGACCGTAACGGTAAGTCCGACCCATACGTGAAGTTGCACTTGAACACCGAGAAGGATGCTTTCTTCAAGAGTAGGAAGATCAAGAAGACTTTGAACCCACAATGGAACGAGGCCACCGAGGTGGAGCTTGTCAACAAATACGACACTGTCATCAAAGTGGTTGTGTTTGACTGGGATGTCGGTCCAGAGTCTGACGACTTGTTGGGTATTGGTTACATCCATTTGTCTGAGATGCAACCAGAAGGAGAAACCGAGTTCACTGTGCCATTGTACGATGAAGACGACCAGGATGCTGGTGTGGCCTTCTTCAAAGCCAGTTTCGAGCCAAAGTTCATTCTTCACTGTAAGGCTGATTCCAGTAACTTTGGTATTGTCGGTTCCGGTGTGGGCGCCGTTGGACACCTTGGTAAAGGTGTTGGTAAGGGCGTCGGCAAAGGTGTCGGTAAGGGTCTTGGAACTGTTTGAAAGGGTCTTCGTAAGGGCTTACATTTCGGCAAATCTTCTTCCGATGAGTGATTTAATTAAATGTTTTCTATCTTCATTTATTTTAGTGTTCGGGGGATCTTACGATCTCGCCATGCAAATAAGATCTATGATACAATGTTTCTTGTAGGTTTAGAAGACATCACCCAACTTCAATCTTGGGGCGATGTTCATGGATAAGAGTTCCTGGAACAACAACTTGGCAGCGTATGGAATGGTCATCTTGATGATGTACTCGGAGCTCTTACATGTCTTACACCAAGAGCTGTAACCCATCAAACCACAGTTGTTGCACACGTCGACTTCGAAGGCATCCGAAGAAACCATCAATCTTTCTAGTAAGAGCTGCGAAGCACCGTAGGCAATAACACAGTCTCTTTCCATCTCACCCAATCTCAAACCACCATCTCTGGATCTACCTTCCGTAGGCTGTCTAGTCAAAACGGCTCTTGGACCTCTTGCTCTAGCATGCATCTTGTCCAACACCATGTGCTTCAACTTCTGGTAGTAGATAGGACCGAAGAAAATATAGGCTTGGAGACACTCGCCTGTGATACCGGAATACAACATGTCCTTACCCGAGTAGTTGAATCCCTTGTCAACTAAGATTTGCGACATTTCTTCCAATTTGGAACCGCCGAAACAGGTACCGTATTCAAGACTTCCGTTCAACACACCAGCCTTACCAGAAATCAATTCCATCATCTTACCAACTGTCATACGAGATGGGAAACCGTGAGGATTCATGATAATGTCAGGGGAGATACCGTCGTCATTGAAAGGCAAATCTTCCTGCTGCACGATGATACCACAAACACCCTTCTGACCGTGTCTGGACGAGAATTTGTCACCAAGCTCTGGTCTTCGCGTCTGTCTCATCAACACCTTGATAAGTGCCTGATCGTTGTCGGAAACAGACATCATGACCTGGTCCACGTAAGAAGGTTCAGGACCCTTGTAGTACGCTGGTGTTTCTCTGTGGGATTCGGTACCAGGTGGGTTTGTATCACCCAAAACAGATTCACCGGCATTCACAGGGACCTGCTTGTTGGCATAAACCTGACCATTTTCAATCTTCATACCAACTTCACCAAGACCATCAGGACCCAATGCTGAGTGGGAAAAGATTGGTTCACCGTTTTCGTCAACACGCATACCTGCCACAATATCCTTGGTGTGGTTAGGGTATCTCTTAAGCTGAATGGTGTTCTTTCTAACCACCTGACATCTACCGAAACCACGATCAATAGAGGCCTTGTTCAACACCAAGGCATCTTCGATATCGTAACCCGAGTACGACATGACTGCAACAGTGGCATTTTGTCCAGCAGGCAACTTGTCATAGTCAATCAATTCGATGGTCTTGGTTTTCACCATTGGTTGCTGTGGATAGACCATGAAGTATAGAAGGGTGTCAATTCTTCTGAATTGATTGTATGCAATGGCACCAATGGCTTGCTTACCCATAGCACACTGGTATGTGTTTCTTGGAGACTGGTTGTGATGTGGGTATGGAATCAAACCAGCAACAGCACCCAAAACTGTGAAAGGCTCGATCTCGAGATGGGTGTATGGGAGGTTGTTTTCTGCGAGGTCTTTTTCGTACAATGCAATTAAAGAATCGTTTTCCTCGTTGACATCCAAGTACTCCACGAGTCCATGGTGCAAGAAGTCGTCAAAAGCCCAATCACCAGCCAAGAGTTTCTCCAAATGGTGGGCCCTAACCTTAGGTAATTTTGTCTTTTCGTCAATGATAATAAGCGGACGACAAATACGACCACCGTCCGTAGCGATGTGAACAGCAGCCTGATGACTGTTTGTGAAAATGGAAACAAATTCGGAAATCTTGCCTGTGCGTCTCATAGCACGGAAGTCTCTAACAAACTTCACGGGGAAACGGGTTGTTCCGATCATTGTACCATTCAAAAAGATACCGAAGTTGCCTTCGGAGTAAAGAGTGGCAGAGTCGATACTCATGATGTCTTCACAGCCCAAAATAAAACACAATTTTCTGATGGGTCCTTCTTCATCATCAGTGGTAATATGTGTCATGAGGGCCAAGTTCTTCACCAAACCACATGCCTCACCTTCTGGAGTATCGGAAGTACACAACATACCAAACTGCGATGGCTGCAAAGCTCTGGGACCAGACACTTTTCTGGATTTTTCAAACTGGGAGGAAATACGGGTCATCATACCCAAAGCAGAGATATAAGACAAACGAGACAACACATGGGTGACACCAGCTCTCTCCATCTTGAAACGCTTAAGCGACCAGTTACCTGTTGAGATAGCACGGTTCATACCCATTGTGATATTGTTGGAATGAATGTTGATGGAAAGTAAAGCATCGAACTCAGAGGTTCGGCTGGGCTTCTTCATGATCTTGTCAATGTTAGCCTTGAAGTCCGAGTTGAACTTCTTGAACAAATCCTCGAAAAGCAAGGACATAAGCTGGCCAGCAAGCTCTAGACGCTTGTTACCCACGTAATCTCTGTCGTCCACCATGGCAGGATTGTGCATGGTCATCAACACTCTACGAGCCATGATGGCAATGTACAAAGCCTTTTCACGGAAGTTGAGGTCGGAGACTGTCAAATGGGCAATCACAGTGGTGGCAATGGCCTCGATACCTTCTTGAAGTTGGGAAAGTCTAGGAGCTCCAGCACGACGGACGGTCTTGACTCTTCTTCCGATGAATAGAAGCGCCTGCTGCTGTGTGAAGACGCCGAGCTTGGCGGCCTCTTCGAAGTTGATGGCGAAAAGGTCCTGGTACTGGGGATTGGAGCCACAGACTAGCTGCAACACCTCCATATCTGAAACGATACCGGCAGCTTTCAAGGCCACCACGATAGGCACATCCTCGGCGATGGAGTTGTGTTTCAAGTAGATCTTGTCGTTTTTGGAAATCACATACGTCTTGGACTTTCTCTCGTGGGTAGACGAGGTGACGGAGGCCTGGACAATGCCCTTCTTCTCGTCCGCCTCCACAATGATTCTGTTCTTGGAAAGCTGCTCCTGGACCAAAATGACCTTCTCCGTACCATTCACAATAAAGTATCCACCGGGGTCGATCGGACACTCCTCAAGCTGGGCCATCTTGGCCTCATCGATGCCGTCCAATACACACTTGTTGGAACGCAACATCACGGGCATTCGGCCAATCTCCAAGTCCTTGTGCATGATGATCTTTCTGCCACGTGTGTACTCCACATCCACGTAGATTGGCGCCGAATACGTCAAATCACGGAGTCTACACTCGTGTGGAGGCATAATCACCTCCTTGGTTCCAGGCGCCAGGGTCAGTTTGTGACCCACACGGATGTCCAAGTACTTCAAGTAGAACAGCGGGTCCACGTCGGAAAGCACCAACTCGTTTGCCCGGATGATCTTCTTCAAATCGACGTCCACAAAGTAGTTGAACGAGTCCAAGTGCTGTTTCACCAAACCCTTGACCTTTAGGAACGCAGGCAAAAGCTGCCACTTGTCCTCGGCGGTGTTGATGGGGTCATGGAGCTTTTTGCCCTTGTACTCCTCCTGGAGAAGAGGCAGGAACGAGTCGTCCACTTCCATATTTGTTTGGTGAATGGTTGGTGGAGTTGATGAGAAGAGCTGATCTGAGATGGCCTGGTGCACGGGTGTGGATGCCGTCCCAGGCCACAAGGTGACAAATTCGTAGGGTGGACTTTTCGAAGGTGAAAATTGATTTATTGCTTTTATTAGGGGATTTTGGGAAATTCGGTGCTGATCGATTTTGTAGAGGTATCGAGATTGTGCATTGGCTTGTAGGTGTGTCTCATTCTGCTTACGCATCAAGGCATCGATTAGGCATCGATTAGATGCAATTCGGTATTTTTCACCTTTTCCAGATAAAACTTTATCTTTTTGGTTCAATGCCATTGAATTTCTTTCGATTATGGGGCTATAAGGGGAAATCATGAAAAAACTTGATTTGGTAGGTCGCTATGTTGCCTTCTCAATAAGCAGTTCTTGTGAGTCAGTAAGAGCACCAATACTGAGGACATTCAAGCTTGCCTTAAGGCTTTGATGCTATTTCCTATATCTGTTTTCATGTTATTTAACTGCCTAGAATTGGTTTTGATCAATACCTGAACACCAAGTTAGATACCGTTCCATGGCCCTGATCCATTACGGAATTCTCCTACAGTATAACGAGAACTTGGACTCTTGCGGTCACATTGGTGTTTTCCAGGCTCAAATTGGCCAATCCAGGATCAAATTGGCTAAATATTCGGCACTCTAGCACTAAAACCACTAAAGGAAATTGGCCTGATTGAATACGTCCTTAATGCTGTGTTGTAGATCCGAGTTGGAAGTGAAATGCAAGAAACTTGAAGAATGTAATGAGAGGTGGTCTATACCAGCTGGATGTCATGACAGGCAGTTAAGAACTAGTAAGAGAAACTGAGTACTCTTGCAATTTCTGATCCAACAAGTTAATACTGCCTATCTTGGAGTCAAATCACTCTATCAACGGTAAAGTGGAACTGGAAAGAAAAACAAGTTGGGTGACTTGATTATAGTAAGCGCAGCCAATACAGCAAAAACGAATTTTGGCCAAAGAAGGCAAAAATCAAAAGCGATGACGTCTGTTTTTACCAAAGATGATTGATCAAAGGAAGAAGTTTCCTATTACAACAAAGTCATTGAAAAGAGAACTTTCCTTTTACGAAAGCGACATCAAAGCAAAACCTCCTCCCCCTTTGCAGGCAAGAGGAAACCAACAAAACACCCAATTATATAAGCTCCACATATTCTTCTTCTACAAGCACCAAACATGGGATTCTTCAGCACACCCACCGAATACACAATTCAAGGCGAAACATCGCCACCGCCAAAATTGGACACTTTGTTTCTTTTCCGTAACTATGGAACAGATTTCTACGCTATCCAAAGCGAGTTCTCGAAATCTTTGGATAAGGGCGCCCACAGGCTAAAATCACTTGGTTGCAAAATCTCCGGAAATTATCACCAAGTGACGGAATTTCAACCGCTACAGAAGCATGAAGTGAACGACCTTGATCTGGATATTTTCATTAAAAATGCACGTTTTCGGAACGGTATCCCCTCCTTTGGACAAAGCCCTCCTCCAGATACCACAAAGGTGATTTTCCAAGTTCGGCACACCTTCTTGACATTTGACAGGTCAAAGTACGAGCTGCTGATGCCGATTTTGGGGAGTTGTTTTTACGTATGTGGAGAGGATCTCAGGTTCTTTCCAGGACCAAGGTTCCCCATGACGCATCTGCTTTATGGAGCTGGATGTGAAATGATGTCAGGGTCTGAGCACCAGTTAGTTGGTGGTGCTCGTTTGAAGTTCAAGGCCGAATTCAAGCAAGTCTCATGGTTTCACCAAAAAGCGTACCATCGTATCGTGCTTCCAAAACTGCTCGTATCGGATTTTCTCTCTTTGAAACTCCAGGTTTCAGGTCTGCGAAATGACAAAAGGTTGGCGGACCTCATTGTGATTTCGGAAATATCCATTGAGCTCCAGGAGTTCGTCAGTGTACATGAACAAGGGCACTTTTTCAAGGAAGTGAAGACCGAGGTGTTGTTCAAAAAGGCTCCGTTTTGCACGGTCGTTCTCTCAAAAACACCTTTGGATATTTGTCCAGATATCGCTTTACCAGACCTTGGTCCATCCTTTTTCACCAAGGACCTCACAAGGAGCTATGGGTTGCGTATTTCGGTGAAGGTCTCTCACAAGAGCCTTCCAAGCGTATCTGCTTCAACATTTATGGAATTGAACGTAGCACAAGAGACCCAAGAACGCATAAACTACAAAGCCTTGGACGACCAGGAGTACTATGGAAGCAGCTCGACAGCACAAACCCTGTTGTTTCAAGACTCACGCACGGAAGGGTATTTGGAAGCTTTTAGGAAGAAGTTTCAAATAACCTTGTTTGAGAATAGGAACAGCTTTCTGCTGTGTCTAGTCCAGTCCCACACTAACGGGTCCTCCAGCTATGTATTCGGTTCCGTGGACGGTAGAGAACCAGCCCTGGCTAAGAAAGAAGAAGTGTGCTTTTCAAACTACGTCTTTGACTTTATACAAAAGGTGAAGAGTATTTCTCGTCTATTCACTGCTCAAGTGCCGAAACCACACTCAATCCGTGCTTTGGTCACAGAAAGACCAATTTCAGGGGGCGATGTCTCTAATACTAGTGAGCCATATGCTTCGACTTGTCTTACGATTGGCAACCAGGCAGTGGAAGCAGTTGACAAAAACTCGAGATGGCTGAGAGCAACCAGAGATAAAGTTCTTACGATTGGAACTGCAAAGGTGCCTCTTTCTATCCGTCTTGTATTAAATGATTGTTTCAAACTGTCTGGAGGGTTTGGTGACAGCGTCATTGCAACACCTGGAATGAAGCTCTCGGATCTTTTGAACGTCCAGTTTATTCTTCCGTTGAGCTTCGAGACTTTGGCATCCGGTGAAGTACTGGTAGAGGATTTGAATATTAAAGTGCGTAGACTCGTGGTTACTCTTCATGAGTTAGATGGTCACATTAAAACGACGACGTTGACTGATCAAAGAGGTTTGCCATTGCTTCACTGGAACAATTTCAGGTACCCGGTTGCCGGTAATCCGACGGCTTGTGCTTTCCATCTTCCAGAGGAACTCATTGAGGGTACAATTCCCAATCGTCTCGAGTCGATCTCGCAGGTTTCAGGTTATCTCTCGTCGTTTTGCTTGATAGTTGTATTGCTTGTTGATAAGGGCGAGAGGGCCTACGCCTGGCCGATGAGACTCGTGATTGCTGATCCTTGAGAGGGAGATTCAGAGGTGTTGACGATTGTCGGTCTGGCTTTAATGAGTGGAAGAAGGTGATTCTGTTTCAGAACGCAGAAAGGCGGAGCTGCCTATCATTATACTATTCGTGACAGCTTTTACATGAGCTAGAGCTTCGTTAGTACTAGAAATTGGATCATTTCTGCAATTTGAAACCTTGCGAGGTATCAACTATGGATGTTATCCGCCAATTCCAGATTCACCGGCAATTTTACCGTTTTCTGTAAATATCACATAGCTATATAGTAAATTGGAAGCTGTTCAGGAAATAAAAATCATTACATTACGAATGAGAGAGCTTGTAATAGGCATAAGAGGTGAAATACTGCGTTGCATTGCTTCGATAGAGTTGGATGTTGGTTAATCTACTTCACAAAACCTCCAGTAAATCTCTTCCCTGTCACAGGGTGGATCAAAGAGTTTTTTGTTTTTTTTCTTTCTTCACCAAGGCGTATTGAGTGTATTTTTGCAACATCATTGTGGCTTGCAGCACTCCCAATCAGTCACTCCAAGTATCTTACAATATAGCATATTTTCGTTCCACGTACCTGTTCAAAACAGCATAACGTCAATTGTAAAGAACATTCTCTTATTTGTTCTTAAACAAAAATCTCATTTGCTGTACTCCCATGATACCTTCCATTATCCCAAAAACCACCCACACTCACAATAAAAATCTCAGACCCAAAAACACTCCTCTACAACCCCTAAAAACATTCACATCATCTTCAACCCCCTCTTTCTTCAACTTACCCTCCATTCCTTTCTTCCAATTTCCCTCCATATTCCCTCCACTTACTCTCAATACCCACCCACCCCACACTGAACTTACCACATTCAACCACCCACAAATGACCATCCGATTGCACCTTCCCTACACATCCACAGCCCCAAAATCCCACTCCCCAAACAACATAAATAGAGGCCGATTCCCCCGTCTTTTTTTTTCTTCATCACCACAGAACACAGAATACTCAGCTTGCAATGATCGCCAACTTCCTCAGCGCTACTACTTCCCTTGCCTCCAAGGCAATCACCGCTACTATCAGCACCGTCGTCCACTCCGCCGCCTACGCCGCCGAGCTTCTTGACGAATTTTCTCAAATCAACACTAACGTGGCCGAAACCGTCACTTCTGTTCTCGAAGTCCCCGGCACCTACGACGCCTTTGACTTTGAGAGCTTTGTTTTCCCCGATTTTGGGTTCCTCGTGGAAACCTCCCCAAAATTGCCAATTCTGGGCTCCTTTCCCACCGACCTTTCCCCTATCGATTCCCCAACCGATGAAATGCCACTTTCTTCCCGCAGAAGCCCTAGACCTTCTGGCGAATGGCAAACCATCGAGGCTCGCAAGAGCCCTAGAAGAGGTTTTTCTTCTTCTCCCGTGAATTCTGCCCCTCCAGCCGACATTCTGGAATTCAGAAGCGTCAGGCAGAAGACTCACGGAAGGTACAGCCAGCCTGTGCCTGATATGGAGAGCCGGCTTACCCAGGGGAACATCTTCCTCGTTCTCCAGGAGTGCTAGCTTTTGGAAGCTATAAAAAAATTTGAAAAAATAGAAAAAAATAAATATAATTTTAAAGGCAAGTGTAGGGTGAGTGGTGCACCAGAAGGTCACTCGTTCAGAAGTTTATGGGAGATGCTTAGAGAATATTTTTTTTGCAAAGCAGAATTCGTGGATGCAGAAGGGCATCTTTAGTTTGCTTCACTGCTTAAATGTCATCTCTGAAGGCTCCTTGTTAGGCATTGATATACCCATGTAAAATATACCTGCGATTTGAGCTGTGCCATTGGAAATACAGCTCCATCATTTAATACCTCGAGCATGAAATTCTCTCTCTTTTTTTTTTTTTTTTTTCTTGTATTAGCTGAATCATTCAAATTCACATTATACTGCTTTTAGCTGATAGAGTGGGTTTGTATAGCGTATCCCATTTAATCAGAATACTTCAACAGAAGCATAACAGAATCACTATTGCCGCTTTCCTAATATTCCACAGCGTCCAAATTGATCCACAAACTCATAATACAAGTCCCCCAATACCAGCAACGCACCCCGATATTATATACGTCTTTGCCGCATCAAACCCAATAGTCAGTAGGCCTCATCGTCTCATCTGGTTTCGGCGATCTACAAAATAAAGCAAATCCCAGAACTCGATCTTATTATTATTTCTTCACGCCCCCTGCCATTCTTACTTATAAAGACACCACCAATCCACTTCTCCCAACCATGAAGACAGAACACCTTTATTTCTTCAAAAAGGCAGAAGACCAGAAGGAGGTCGAGGATAACGTAGCCTCGGTCATCGAAAAACACCCCGAGGCGTATGCGTCCCATGAAGTGTACGCTTTTGCAGAGAATAATACAATGTGGATGATGACAGACCTTGAACTCCGTACTTCAAATTCAAGCTCCCTCGACGAAAAGGCCATTGTGAAGGAGGCCAGACGGAAAGAAGGCATCAGCTATTTGGGATCAGGACCCACGTTGAACGATTCAAATTGCAGACTCGTTCAGTGCGTCACGGAAAGAAGGCTGTTGAATGTGGACCCACTAGAGGCTTTGGGAGACAATGCTTTGAACACTCCTATAGACAAAAGAGCGCTTTACGAGCTTTACTGTCTTTGGGTTGGAAAAAAACGGATTCCTTTCCAGCCTGGTATCACCAGAAAGTCGGTTTTCAGCTGGCATGATATTCGAAGTCAGCCTTCACTGACAGTAGTTGTTGAACCACAAGATTCGAAAAACGTCCATCCCATCGAGGCCACACTAATGGTGGACTACAATTTTGACCAGGACGTGGAGTTTTCACAGCTATCCAACGTTGTGTGTCCAGGCAAAATGATCACAGACTTTGACATCCGATTGTACCTGAAGAAACCAGCATTCTGTAGCTGTATACGGGGCATAGTGGTGAAGAGAATAGTGGTGAAACTCAAGGAGTTCACAAGCTGTAAAGTTGCCGTTAACGGCACATATGCTGTTTGCAAAGACGTTAGAGATGAGACTTTGCGGGATACAGAGTGCAATTATTCTATTTCACCAGACCGCTTCCATAGATACCCCGGTGAAGCATCTGTATTAATTCCTTCGAAATTCCACCAATGCCGCCTTCCATACCTAGGTCCCAGCTTCAGTTCAGAAAACTGCTCGAGAACTTACGCTCTTGAGTATGAGGTTTCTTTTGAGTGTACTAGGGGAATTTGTTCTTCGAAGTTCGTTGCGCTTATTGGAATAGGCGTACCACTGCCCGAAAAGTCCTATTTGTACCCCGAAAAGCAGGTGAAGAGAGTAAGGGATTTGCTTCACATTGATACATTTCCGAAATCACCGTTGGTCATGCACGATGTCAGAAGAAATACCGAAAAACGAACATCCAGCACCAAAGCGGGCATCTTGGGATACCAGACTTTATCCGTTTCAGACAAGGAAGGATCGGTCTTGACCACCACCACTATCTCATTGCTGGATTCTCCTCCAAAGACCGAAAAGCCCATTTCGTATCTCGATTCCAAAATCGACCCTAACTGTGCGTTGGTTTATCGAAAAGACAGATACTCGCTTTCTGGAGTCAAGCTTGAAAAGTCAGTGTGGTTGTCTCTCTACGACAGCTACGATCTCTTGCCCAAGAACCCCAACTACTTTCTCCTAGTGGCTCAAAAAAAGAAGGTGATACTGGGAATGCCATTTGAGGAAGCCTTCAAAATCAGCATCATTACAGCTCACGATGAGCCTTTGGGCATCAGCAATATAGATATAACGATTGTTAAGAAGACAGTCGTTATGGAGGGACAAAAGCAGGTGTGCACTGAGAAGAGCTTTCCATTGTTGAACAATTGTCTCGGACTATTATTCGGTGTTTCTCTTCCTTCGTATCATTCTGGGAATAAGCGTTTTGAGTATCGTCTCCCTGACGAAATCACAAAATGCAAGATTCCCAAATTAGCACCATCGCTAGCATCGAGCACAATGCACTGGGACTACTTTCTTGTGGTGGAGATCACACCAGACTGGATGACGCCGTTTGCTAAAAGGTTTGGGGCGATACAGCGGGTGGATATCGTTGGAGAGGATTTTTGCTGAATAGAAGGAAACCACCTTGATTTTTTTGTTCTATCAATCATTAGGAAAAAGACGCCAGTAAAAATGAATTTTTCATCAGAAGCTATATAGCTTTAAGACCTACATTGAAAGTGAAAATGGAAGGAAAAGGCTGTTGTAGAAATGGTTGCAAAAAGAGGGCTTTTGTAGGAGGTAGTGCACAATGCACCTAGGCCAGTTCCATCGATGAAAGGAAGCAGGATTTTCACGGCCAAATCGTGGATTAATAATTGATGAAGTTCAGATTAAATAGTATTATAAGGAAATTAGATCATTGAAAAGTCAACTCGTTTTAATTAGGCCCCACTGTATGGTTACCAGTTTCCAACGACAAAAGAGCCCTTTAACCCTGTTTATGGTACAGAAGCACGGTTTTGCCGGAATTGAAGTGTTGATCAGTTTCTTATAAAATTCATTACATGCCCCTCTTTATTGTAAATCAAAAATTCGTAGTTTTCATGAAATCTAGGGTTTTGAAATTTTTGCTACCTGCATATAGCCCGTGTTACTGAATCTCTTTTAGCGGCACAACAGCTTAACCCTCGAAACCGCTCGTGTGGCGCAGTGGTAGCGCAGCAGATTGCAAATCTGTTGGTCCTTAGTTCGAACCTGAGCGCGAGCTGTTTTTTTTTACGTTATGCCTTTTGCATGGAACTAGGATAAAGAATAGTCTTTTATCTTCTATTTTGCCTTAACTAATTTTTTGCCGGTTGATTTGTGGTCAATTTTGCTTGTCATTCCCTCCACCAGCATACCTCCTCACTCTATGTTCCGTGCTCGTAATTTGCACCCAAAGAAGCACAAATATAGAGCAACCCAGCACCCACCAACCTTGCTGCGATGGCAATTGCAATCTAGTAGTATAAAAGCACACAAAAAGGATGATTCCTAAAACTACTGATAGGTGTTGATTCGTGAATGTTGCAGAAATCATTGAGGATCTTCAAGCCCAGTTCACCTACGGATTCCCCATTGAGGACGTGAATAAAGCAAATTAAAAAACAATGAAGAAAGTTTAAAGAGGCTCGAATCTCATCAATCTCGCCATCTCCAAAACACCGCCTCCATTTCTGATGTCGCCATTTTGAGCAATCATTCGATCATTGCACTGCAAGAACCTCACCATATTAATGCACCTTCACTCAACCCCCAACGTATTGCATTCTCCCTAATTTCCAAAAGCACAGACATACCTCACCTCTTTTCATTTCACGTCTTTTTACCTCACTTCTCCTAAAATTGTCTCTTTTTGTCCTTCACTTCTAACTACCCCTAGTTCCATCTCCCCTGGGTACCCTCACTGGCTGCGAAAACCGTTACTAAGCAGCCCACCTCTCTACATCACCCACCAAACCCCAATCCCCAATCCCCAAATCCAAATAACCTATCCCCACACTTTCATAAGCACAAGATCAAAATCCAAATCCACGCTCAATTTCCAAAAAGCCCAAATCGTATTCAAATGACCCCAGCGCCTCGCCACCCAAAAGGGTATAGTGATGGCGCGCATTGCAGCAATATCATCACCATTTTGCAACCACTCTTCTTCCGATGGCCCTGGTTGAGCTGCGCCACGGCACGCTGCCCTTTCTGGCCCGCCGGCTCCGACACCGCTTGGACTTCCTTTCGTCCGGGCTCTTTTTGCAAAACGACACCACTTCGCTTTTGGCCTCGGTGGAGAAAGCGCTTCCTTCGTCGCTCACCAGCGCTGAATTGCTCCTGTTGGTCGCCGAACTGGCGGCAGCTCGGGTGGTTTTTTATCCAGATTACGCGCTTTTGGCAGGGCGGATCGAGGCGTTCCGGACCCAGCGGCTCGTGGAGGCCGATTTTGCTGAAAATTTCCAGCTTTTGGCTTCCTACGTTCATCCCAAAACACGCCAGCCACATCCGCTTGTGGACGTGGAAATCGCCCGGTTCGTGCATTCCCACGCTGACTTCCTCAATGGGCTTGTGGCGCCGAAACGTGACTTCGATTTGGCCTATTTTGGCATGAGAACGCTCCAGAAGGCGTACCTCCTCAGAATGAACAATGTCATTGCTGAAACGCCCCAGTACATGTTTCTCCGTGTGGCTGTCGGCATCCACTATAAGGGAGACTCGACGGATTTGGACAGAATCGCCGAAACCTACACCCTCATGTCCAAACGGCACATGATCCACTCGCTGCCTACCTTGTTTAATGCTGCTACGCCTAATAACTACCTCCTGCTGTGCTTTCTTGTGGCCATGGACGACGACTCCATCGACGGCATCTACAGAACCTTGCACAAAACGGCGCTTATCTCCAAGGGATCCGGCGGAATCGGGCTCCACGTCCACAATATCCGCTCCAACGGGTCCCTCATCAAAACGTCCAACGGCACCTCCAGCGGGCTCGTGCCGATGTTGCGTGTTTTCAACAATACGGCCCGTTACGTGGACCAGGGTGGTAACAAAAGACCCGGTGCCATTGCCGTGTATATCGAGCCCTGGCATGCTGACATTGAAGATGTGCTTGATTTGCGAAAGAACCACGGCAAGGAGGAGGCTCGAGCCCGGGACCTCTTTTACGCTCTTTGGGTGCCCGACTTGTTCATGAAGAGGGTCAAGGAAAACGGCTTGTGGTCGCTTTTCTCGCCAGACGAGGCTCCTGGGCTTTCTGAGGTTCACGGTGAAGAATTTGAAAAGCTCTTTGTTGAGTACGAATCGCAGGGACTTGCTGTCAAGACCATGGAGGCCCAGAAATTGTGGTCCCAGATTCTCGAGTCCCAGACGGAAACAGGCATGCCCTTCATGCTCTATAAGGATCTGTGCAACGAAAAGCTGAACCAGAAGAACCTCGGCACCATCAAGTCCTCGAACTTGTGCTGTGAAATTGTCGAGTACTCGTCTCCCGAGGAAATTGCCGTGTGCAATTTGGGCCTGTTGGCACTTCCTTCGTTTGTGGATCACAGCGACTCGAAAACGGTTTCGTACGATTTCGATAAACTCCACCTGGTGACAAAAACACTAGCCAGGAACTTGGACGCTGTCATTGACGCCACAAAATACCCAGTGCCCGAATCCGAGGTTTCCAATAAAAAGCACCGTCCAATAGCCATCGGCGTCCAGGGTCTTGCTGATGTCTTCTTGGAACTTCGTATTCCGTTTGACTCGCCTGAAGCCGCCAAACTCAATAGAAGAATCTTTGAAACCATCTACCACGGGGCGGTTGAAAGTTCACTCGAGTCGGCCATAACAGAAGGTCCATATGAGTCTTTCCAAGGCTCTCCAGCGTCCAAGGGCCTTCTACAGTTCGACTTGTGGAATCTGAAACCGGAATTTTTTGACGACTGGGACGACCTAAAAGAGAAAATCAAGCAACATGGCCTTCGAAACTCCCTCCTTTGTGCCCCGATGCCCACGGCGTCCACTTCCCAGATCTTGGGTTTCACTGAGTGCTTTGAGCCTGTCACCTCTAATATATACCTGCGCCGTGTGCTTTCCGGTGAGTTCCAGGTGGTCAACAAGTACCTTTTAAGAGACCTCATTGATCTAGGCATTTGGACGCCTGCCATGAAGGACCGTATTATCATGGACAACGGCCTGATTCAAGATATCCAGGGCATCCCTCTGGAACTCAAAAAGCTCTATAAGACGGTCTGGGAAATCAGCCAAAAAGTCATCGTGGACATGGCTGCAGACCGTGGTCGCTTCATCGACCAGCTGCAAAGTATGAACATCTTTTTGCAGAATCCTACCTTCGGCAAGCTCACATCTTGCCACTTCTATGCCTGGGAGAAGGGCCTCAAAACGGGAATGTATTACTTGAGAACACAAGGAGCTGCAAGAGCCATCCAGTTCACCATAGACCACGAAAAGGTACTTGAAGAAACATCAAGAGGCGCTACGCCAATCTCGACAAAACTTGATCGTAAAGTTTATGTCGAGAAACGGCCAACCAAGAGATCTCTGAACGAGCTAGAGATTGGCAGCACCTCCAGTTCCAGACCTCCAAAAGTTGCGAGGGTCTTCATGCTCAGCACAGAACCCATAAGACCTTCTCCCACACGATACATCGATACCCAAACGACGAACTCCTCAACGATTGACGATAGAAACTCCGACTCATATGACATATACTCCGACACGCCCGTCTCATGCAATTTGAGCGATCCAGAAAACTGCGATGCGTGCTCCGGTTAACGACATGTAAATAGCCCTTTCTAATGTAAATAGCCAACCTCGTTACGATCATCTAACGTAGCTTTCTTCCAGCAAAGTCAGCCACCTGAGCCATACCATCTTGGGTTACGAAGAACCTCAACTTGGCTTTCTCCGACCAAATCAACACACCCACCTCTTGAGCGTAATTACACAAAATATCAAACTCGCTTTGGTTCTTGAAGTCTTTGAACAAGTACCCGTTGAACGTCTGAATTCTGTCCAACTCCAACTGCCAGAGCTTAATTTGGTCAACGACATTGGGTGGTAAGACCTCAAGACGATGCTGAGCCACACCTGAATCGCCAGCCTTGGACTGAGGTGCTCCACCTGCGGTATTGATATTGTGTGAAACATCAAACTCAATCTTCTTGTCAAGCTTCTCCTTGGCCAATGCACGCATTTGAGGGTGGGCGTGGGCCTCGAGGAAATTGATGATTTGTGTAGCCGTGATACCGTTTTGAAGAGCGTTACGAATGGACTCTCGCGTGATCGTGCCAATGACCATGTTGGCGAATCTGGTCTTCATGGTAACAAACAAGTTCAAGATGGCAATCTCCAAAGGCGAGTTTGTGTATGCGTAGATACTGAAGTTTGTTTCAAGAATGATCTGGCCCAGCAGCGAGTCGTCAGTATCGGCTTCGGTGCTTTGCAAATGCTGGTCCATAACCATCGAGGGGGTCTTGAGACCTGTGGATTCAGACGTAAGGGTCGTAGCGAGACGCGTAGGGTAGAATCTTGAGGAGTTTTCAGATCGCTGGTACACGAGACCGTAGTCACGCAAATCTGGCAACATGGAG